AAATTATTAATTAAACAAATCTTTATAAAGAAACACAAGTATACCAAGTTTTGGCCCAATCGAACTCCAGGAAGTGGTATCATAATATGGTACTATAGAAGGTACCACTTTATATGCATCAAAGTACCGTCAATTACAATGTCACCGAAATCACGTAGTATACAAAGTTTGAGACCAATCGAACGCCAGGAAATGGTATCGTAATATGGTACTACATTATGGTACCTCATGATGTACTTCATGGTACCATAATATTGCAAAGTGATAAAAAATACGCAAGTATAATCAAATATGAGCCCAATCGAACGTCAGGATGTGGTATCGTAATATGGTACTATATTAAGGTACTACTTTATATGCATCATAGTACCATCATATTACAATGTCACCGAAGATACTTACTATACCAAGTATATGTCCAATCGAACGCCAGGAAATTCAATTACAATCAAACGTCACAAAGTGACTGTAATTCAGCTCGTAAGATTTAACTCCAACTAACATGGCAAGTTAAATACCTAAACGTTTGAAAAAAGAGTTCTAATCTATTTTAATATGTTTAAATTAATAATGTAGCAAATTTGAAGATAGGCTTTATAAGGAAGTATTACAATATGAATTACACAATGGCAACACTGCATAAAATTCTTTTAAATTTCGTTTGTAGAAAACTGTTTTCTTTTAAAAATTTATCGTCCTCTATTATGTAGTAGCGAAACTACCGCATCAAAATATCTGATTTGGAGACAGGCTTTAGAAGCCTGTCTAAAAGCCTGTCTCCTTTTGATACCTACGATTTTATACGTTTAACGAGGCTTCTGTTGGGTAGCTAGATATTCTGTGATGTGTCATAACATTATTTGAAAAGTATTAGTAATTGCAACGTGTGTATTGAAAATAGATATATGATAAACTTAATAAAAGTTGAAGAGTTTTGTAAAATCTATCAGAAAAAATGATAATATCCCATTTACCATTTTTGTACCATTTAAAAAAATTGAAATTTCTTAATTTTAAATAGTTGAAATTCATAAATATATTTTGAACACCCTGTAGCATCTAACTAAAATATCTTTACATACTTCTGTTTCTATATATCTATAAAATTCTCCTATCAAATTTTAGTTGTCCAACTTCAGAAACAACGGCATCACTGACAATTTTTTACCGCACTGCAATCTAACATTCGTTTAAACCAGGGGTGGGCAAATACTTTAAAGCGCGGGCCAAAATGAAATTTTCAAAATGTCCCCCGGGCCGGAGGACTATACCGCATATGCTTTGCACAAGCGGATGTTTTGGATGGAGTTTTTTCCCTGCCAATTTTTTTTTGACAAAAACACTAAGTATCATTTCAATTTGAATAAAATATGTCACGTAATTTTTAAAGAAATATTTTTATAAATAAATGGCTATTAGATAAACCAGTCAATGAAACATTTTACTTTGTTACTTATTTATGTCTTAACGATACAAATTATTTTATATTGACACATAGTTATTACAATTTAACATTTATATTGCATTTCGTAAATATAATAGTAAATAGAATTCAAAAAAGAAAAGAAAAACATCAAACGTTAAAATAAATATTTAAAGTTAATGCGAAACGTGAAATCTCGAATGTTCATCTGACATTATTTCTTCAAAATTGGGTTCCAAATCACTTGTAGCAATCCTTAATACCGAGTGTAGATTTTCGTCAGTAATTTGTGATCGATATTTATTTTTCGTGGAAACCATTAAAGAAAAAGTTCTTTCACAAATATATGTCGAACCAAATAAAACAAGGTATTTTTGAACATAGTTCAAAAAATGTTTGAAATGTTCGTTATTCAAAGCGCCATAGAAAGCACTCAATTCGTTTGAGTGAAAATTTTCTTTTAGTAAATTATTTGATTGTAAGTCAATTAGTTCTAGTTGAATTTCAACAGGAGCCTCTTGCACATCGAAATTGAAAGGTTGGCTAATTAATGATAAAGGTTTTTCAATAGCTTTGAAATCTTGAAATCTTCTTTGGAATTCAGAATGCAGGTCTTGTGTTATTGCACTATATTTAAAAAAATCTGTATTTTTCAATGATTCTCGCCGTGCTTGCAATGAGGGGAAATGATTTAATAATTTATTATTAAAGTTTTCAGTAAATAAATTGAGTTTTGTCATAAATGCTTTGACGTTTGAGTGCATATTGAAAGCGAATTGGTTTTTCCCTTGTAGATTTATATTTAGTTCATTCAAATATTTTACGATATCTACTGAAAATGAGAAATCGTTTAGCCAAGCTCTATTTTGCAATTCAGGAAAATTATTTAGTTTTTCTTTTATCGACAAGAAGGATACTATTTCATCAAGCAAATATTGAAATCTGTCCAAAACTTTACCAATGCTAAGCCATCTCACTTCAGTGTAATAAGGAATTTCGTAGAAGTCACTTTCAATTTCTTTCAAAAATTCAACAAACTGTCGATGGTTTACGGCACGTCCTCGGATAAAATTCACAACTTTGGTCACAACAGTAACGACGTGATTCAATTTTAAAACTTTTCTGCATAGCACTTCTTGATGAATAATGCAGTGCAAAAATAATATATCGTGTTCTGGTTGTAACTCTTTTACTTTGTCGCGAATTCGTTTAAGTAAGCCTACATTTTTCCCTGTTAAACTAGGACAACCATCCGTAGTGACGCTTACTATTTTATTCCAAGTTAAACTTACTTTAACTAAACACCCTTCAACAGCGAGAAAGAAGTCTTCACCAGTAGTTGTATCTTTCATTGGATGCACACTAAGAAGATCCTCGCTAATTTCACAGTTCTTGTTAATGCCGCGAATAAATATTAATAATTGACTTGTATCAGTAATATCGCAGGACTCATCTAAAGCCAGAGAACAATAGGTAAAATCAGCCATTTTTGTTCTTAGCTGGTCAAGTAAGTTTCCTGAAATATTTTCAATCCGTCGTACTATTGTTCTTCTTGAAAGGCTTACATTTTCAAAAATATGTTTCTTTTCAGGACAACATATCTCCGACACTTGTACCATGCATTGTTTAACAAATTCTGCCTCAGAAAACGGCTTACAGAACTTAGCAATTTTGTGTGCGACAACATAACTTGCTTTTGTGGTAGATTTCTCTATATTACTTTGTTTGGTAAAAATATTTTGTTGCTTATTCAAGTTTTTTGCTAAGTTTTCTGCTACAGTTTGAAGTTCTTTTAAAGAATGTGATGCATATTTTGGATGTTTTGTTGTAAAGTGCCTGTTTAAATTGTATTCTTTAAAAACAGCAATTGTTTCCTGACAAACTAAACAAATTGCTTTCTTATTTATGTTTGTAAAAATATATTTTACCGTCCAAGCTTCATTGAAGTTTCTGCATTCCAAATCAACTTTTCTTTTTTTAGATTGACTCATTTTACAAAGGTCTACAAACCTATAATTTAATTAATACAATAAAATAAAACCAGTGTTTTAAAATTTTACTTACAAAAAGTCCACTTTTTCAATTTTATATTTGCAAACTAATATTAGACTCGAACAAAAAAGAGTATGCGATCAGTACTAAATCAAAATTAACAATACGCGTGGTGCGACCTGTCGTCCCTCGAAAAGTGAGAGGAGTGCTGAATACCTTTCGTTGCAAATGCAAAGGTCCGCTAAAATCTCTCTCGTCTCAAGATTCCTTAAACTTGGGTGTTTGCGGGGAGTGAGCCGCAAGGAAAAGGAAATCGGCGTTTGCTGGTTGGTCAAAATTCGTCCGGATGAGGCGATATCGGTTTTAGCTGAATAGACCCGAATTGAACCGATGTATTACAACAGGTCTAGTAATGAGAACATTGGGAACTATCGATATCGAAAAATTTTTCCATTCTAAAATTACCAAGCGGTTAGTTTTCTTATTTTTTCCGATAATTTAAAGAAATTAATTTATTACCTATATAAATAATGTACTACTGTCAAATACTATTGTAAAATAATTTGGATTAACTATCTAATCAAATATTTCGATAGTTTTTATTTGAACGTAGACCTTAGTTCCCATTATTAGACAGGTTGAGAGGACTGAATTTCTAGGTTAGGTTCGTTTTAATTTTGTTTCCGTTCGATATCATCGATCTCGTTTTTAAAATCTTGAGTGAAAATCGGGTGGAAATTGAAAAATATGATGTGAGTTGGTATTTTAAAAAGGTGCTTATTTTAATTATGGGTGATGGCCTAGGTAATTCATGTAAATTTGTAAATAGTATTATTATTTTATGTTTCATATTAACAAGAATATAATAACAAATTACTTTGCATGTACATCGGTATGTGTATTTTATATTTTCGCCTCACCTATGACAGCACCCCAGATCCGCCACTGATATGCCGTCCACACATGCATTTCGAACCTAGCGCGATCTCCTTTGTGTTCAACGAAAAAACCGCCTTGAGAGCGATCGTCGTGAGCGACCCACGTGAGAATCACACGAGGATTGTTTCAAGATCGCGACATCGTCCACACTAGTGTAGTTAGCCGACCGCCCATTTTATTAAGCCTATTATATATACAGTACGCACACTAATAATGCTGATGTCAACAAAATCTCATAAAAGAGTTTAAAAAAATTTGCGTGCGGAATTTTTCAACGGGCCGGATAAAATTAGCAAAAGGGCCGGATCCGGCCCGCGGGCCGGCTTTTGCCCACCCCTGGTTTAAACAAATTTAAATATTACAAAAACTATTAATTTTAGGTATATAACATTATATATAAAAAAAGTTATGGAATTTCACGCAGAATCTAAAAATAAAATAAAAAATAGGGTGATGCATTTAAAAAAAAGATATGTTATATTCGCCTCACTTTTTTGAAGCACCCTGTATACTCTATAGTAATTTTAAAATGTGTATCTTAACCTTCCCTATAACTTATTAATCATTTTTTTGTAAACCTCGAAACAAATGAGTAAATGGACTTTACTCTATCGTTGACTCACTCTGTACAATGAATTTTAAATAGATATATAGTTGTGGACTGAACACGCACGGAGTTCTTGGTTTTGACTCGTCTGTTACGGAGGTTGTTCGTCCAAAGGCTGTGAAATGCAAATCATTCATAGAATCAGTATTGGCCAGTGAGTATCATTCGGTGGCCTGGAATTCACATGGTTAGTATATTTAGTGCTGTTTCACGTGGAGCGGAGCGTCCGCGAGTTCGAGCAAGTACTATGAGTTTAAAGGATACCTAACCTAATTCATCCCATATTTTATCCCGTTTTCTAATGTTTTTGTATTCGGGATTTCTCATGTCATATAGAATTGGGTATTTCGTTACCAAATTTTGATAATTTGAATCGGGAAGAATAGTGTAAAGGTAAGTGTCCATTTGAGAGTAATTCGTGCGAGTGAATTCGATACTCACTCCAAAGAGAGTATCCATTTGAGAGCGATTTAAAGAATTTTTGCTATTGGCGAGATAGCTAAAAACTCTCCAAATGCTTACTCTCACACATATCTGTCAGGAGGGTATCCATTTGAGATTTCTGTTTCATCAACTGCCTTTCTTTGTGTATTAACGGGTTTTGTGTTTTTTTTAATCAATTTAGTTATTCCCTCATATAAAACATATATACAACACATAAATAATGTACAGCATATACATATCATAGAAGATCTGGGTCTCGTCCTTCTTCATCTGTTGCAGCATCAGTGATCTGTTGGTACCAGATCCTGGCCAGTTGGTATCGAAGACATTCTTTTCTTAATTATTTCTGTCGTCGATTTCTGGATTTAGTGTGTGGTTCTATTTAATATTAATCATTTGATATTCTTTTTGAATTGTATAAATTTCAATTTTTTTACCTCCTCTGCTAAACTATTGAATGTTTGAATTTTTTTTGTTGTTAGTCTGTGTGTTAATGTCTTATTTTTTAGTTTATGGCATCTAATATGTGACTTTCTCCTTGTTTGGTAATTGTGAACTTCCTTGTTTGTATTTAATTTAATATTTAGCAAGCTATTAAAAAGTATTAATTGTTTTATATCTAGTTCTTGCACTGTATCAAATAATATGTGTGTTGGTGTTCTTTTGTGTAATTTATATATTAATTTTAAAACTTTATTTTGTTGACGTTGCAATGCGTTGAAATTCTTTTCGGTCGTATTACTCCATATATTCATTAAATAGTTCATCCTTGAGGTAAACAGTGTTTGTATAAAGGATATACAGGAGAGGTGGTAGATTTCCTCCTCGCGGTATCTCATATGGCGCCATGGTAGTTTTACTTTCAATATTTCCCATGCAAATTTTTTGTGGTCGATTTTTTAAATAGCTTTCCATTAGTTCTAGTATGTGTTGATTCAGTTTATATTTTTGTAATTTTTCATTTAATTTGTTTATGTGTAGTGTGAAAGAAACATAGAAGTGCAGATAGTTAATCCCATGGTATCCCACAAAACTGTATTTTCCTCGTATATACTTATCAAAGTATCATATGACCACTCTTTGCGAGTAGCTGCCATTTTAAATTAATAATTCTCTGCTAGAACTATCACAATACGAAACGTAATCGTATTTCAGAAGTAACTATCCGCTATTAAAAATAATATGTATACACTTGGGAGCAAATATATATATTTATTATATATATATATATATATATATATATATATATATATATATATATATATATATATATATATATATATATATATTATATTATTAATTATTATAAGTTATTAAAATAGTAAACTAGTAATGAACAATAATAAGCAAGAGATTCTGCTTACACATATTTTTTTTTCAAACGTCACAAAAGTATTAATTTTTGTCACATGATTGACAATATAAGAAAGTCATTTTAACGCCTCGGCATAAAAGTCATATACAGGGTTGTTCACCACATACGACACGGAGTATTGTAACTAAACGATTACAAATTGTAAGTTTTGGGTTAGTTGAAGGACTATTAGAGCTACAATTTTAAAATATTTTTACAAGATACAGAGTGTACAAATAAATAAAAAATATCAAAGTTGTATTTTTTTAAATAGAGCACACTGTATATTATTGCATTTTTAGTTTCTACGATTAAAATAAAGGTAAATTTGATTAGGGTTTATTACACTTAAACCTTACCGTTTTTGAAATATTTTCAATTTTGCGAAATTGCAGTATAAATTTTAAGGCTTCATTTCTCTGAGGATATCAAAGTTTTTAATACTAAATATTTACTGAAGTTTATTTATTGATCAGTTATTGTGTTGCAATAATAAAAATTATACTACCTTATACAGAGTGTCTAAAAATTTATTTTAAATAATTACTAGCTTTAAACGGCAATAACTTAATTACTTTAAATAGAACACCCTGTATATGTACAGGCTACGTTTTTAGTAAAACGATCATATTACTAGGCCATTTGTATGCAAAAAGAAAACTATTTAAATCTTTATAAAAGAGTATACCATTAATTAAATATACCACCAGTATTTCCACCCAAATACTAATTAACTACATACTTAATTGTGTTCGTTAATAAATTATTCTAAATAAAGGTGGATTTGAATCAGAAATCAATATAATAATAAGTTATGAAAATTAACGTCTCTGTTGTTATAAATAAGCATGTGTCAAAAAATTAAATATCATTTTTAAAGTGTTACTTTTTCCACACTGTCTAATACACATACATAATTCAGTTTTTTAGTATTTGGAGCAATTATTATTAATCAACGCAAACAGTCAATTAATGTAGTTTGAATACTGGAATCATATTAATTGGTCCTCTTTAACAAATATTTAAACAGTTTTTTTATTTTTTAATGAAATAAACGAACTATATCGACAATATTCGTATCTGTACTCTTTAAAAATTTGGTACATCTTTAAAAATAATCTTAAATGTCAGTATTCCATGGGTATATTGATAAATGAGTTATAAATTACAAGAAAATGCATTTTCTACCGAAACTTGAAGAGATAGGTAAAAAAATGGTATAATACAATTTGATAGACAATTAAATTGTGCACCTTATTCTCATAAAATATACAGGATGTCCCATTTAAATTAAACAAGTTATTGCCGTTTAAAGCTAGTAATTATTTAAAATAAATTTTTAGACACTCTGTATAAGGTAGTAAAGTTTTTATTATTGCAACACAATAACTGATCAATAAATAAACTTCAGTAAATATTTATTATTAAAAAGTTTGATACCCTCGGAGAAATGAAGCCTTAAAATTTATACTGCAATTTCACAAAAATGAAAATATTTCAAAAACGATAAGGTTTAAGTGTAATAAACCTTAATCAAATTTACCTTTATTTTAATCGTAGAAACTAAAAATGTAATAATATATAGGGTGTTCCATTTAAAAAAATACAACTTTGATATTTTTTGTTTATTTGGGACACTCTGTATCTTGTAAAAATATTTTTAAATTGTAGCTCTAATAGTCCTTCAACGAACCCAAAACTTACAATTTGTAAAAATCTAATCATTTAACTACAATACTCCGTGTCGTATGTGGTGAACAACCCTGTATAAAGGAAATAAATTTAGATTGGAAAGACCGTCAAAATATATAATTGTTTTGGGTCGCGACCGTTGTACGCGATCTGGCGCTGCTATAGCGGTTGATAAGAACAACCGAAAACAATAACAGAAATAATTTTCTCTTGTCAAAGTCGGAATCTACAAAAATTATCAAATCTTTCAAAATTTAAACCGCCCTCATTGAAAAAATACGGAAAAGTGTTTAAAGTCGATTCTCAAAGTAATTATTGCTATCTTCCTATCTTGTGAGTTTAGTTTAAAATTTACTTACTCAAACCCGTGATAATTGTGAAAAAGTGGCATTAAAATTAAAAAAAAACTGTGCTGTGAACTGTGAACTACAAAAACCATCGTGGATCGTGGCATAACGTCGATTTCATAGGTATTTCACATACATGTTCTTATATAAAATAAAGTTTCTTGTATGCAACGCACTGTATTTTATTTATAAAATTAAAACAAAGTAATAATAAATTTGAATAAATAATACGGCGACATAATTCCGGAAAAGGCCGAACCGATCCGAAATTATCAAAAGTTTTGGTCGCGACCGTTGCAAGAATAGCGCCAAATAGTGTTTACATTGTCCCTATGGGCACTTTCCAATCTAAACTTGTTTCATGAAAAACTTGTTCTATGAAAAAAGGTTCTATGGGTATATTATTAAATTGACATGAAGTGTCAAATTCAACGAGCGTAACCATAATTTCTCGATATATAATTACCATTACATTCAAGGTATTACTTTTAATTGTTTTTATATTATTTGGAACATTGAAATTGTTTAAAAAATTATTTGTGGGGTTTGAAAAAAAGGCATGTTCTGTTCGGAGTAAAAATGACTTTTTGTGGCTCGGTTGTATGTCAAACGTGCAGCCTCGCCACGAAAAGTATAATTTTTACTCCTAATAAAAAAAAACAATATTTTAAAGTGTGAGCTTCACCCCAAAAAACCACCCCCAATACGCCCTTCGATGGTTTTTCGCTTTTTTCTCAGAACCTGTTGGTCCCACAAATTTTTTTTTACTTACCGAAAATATTCCTTATAAAATTAGCTACAAAAAAGGTTCTATTCATTATTTATATTTATCCAATGCATTTCGAGCGATAACCGTTTGAAAAATGGAGTACAAAAAAATAAGGTCGCCTTTCAAATTATAGTCTCCCAAGGTATTTTAACGTGCTAAATATACACGCAACAGATATAATACTGTATAATATAAACAAAAACATTGCCTATTCCACTAAACTAACATTCATATTTTCATCTACATATTGTCATCGTCTATAGTTTCTAGAATGTGCTCAGTATTCGAACAACTTTGCCCACGACAGGTTCCGCACATAGTTGTACATTTCATGCCGGCTTTAATGCAACTGCATCTTTTTACACAATCTTGTTTGCAGTTGCACGTTATTAATGACATAATTGAAGCAGGGGCGGGCGATTCTGTTGTATATAAAGGTGACAGGGTGTTGTTGATTTTCTTCCAGCCCCACTCCGGGTTTTATATGTATATATGTTTTCCGGGAACGTTACCTAGCTGCAGCAGATGTGGGAGGCAATTTTGATAAAAGTACCGTGCTGTTTGCTTGACCAACTAACTTA